CTTATGGCGAACAACTCAAAATGAAGATAAATTGCTATAAGCACCCATTAATAATTGGAACATGGTATGTATAAAATATGAAACTAGAAATCTTCAGAAATAAAATGGAACACATTAACTTTGATATCCTAGGAATTAGTAAGCTGAAATGGACTGGTATTGGCCATTCTGAATCATAGCTTACTTTGCCAGGAATGACAAATTGAAGAGGAATGGTGTTCCATTCATCATAAAAAAGAACATATCAAGATCTGTCCTAAAGTACAATGCTGTCTGTGATAGGTTGGTGTCCATATGTCTACAAGGAAGATCAGTTTAATACCACTATAATTCAAATTTACACATCAACCACTAATGCCAGTGATGACAAAATTGAAGAATTCTAACAATTTCCTCAGTATGAAATTGATCAAACATACAACAAGATGCATTGACAATTACTGGAGATTGGAGTGTAAAGGCTGGAAACAAACAGGAAGGAAAGTTGGGAAATGTGGTCTTGATGATAGAAAAGATGCTGGAGATCACATCATTGAATTTTTTAAGACCAATGACTTTTTAACTGCAAATACCTTTTTTAAAATAACATAGAAGATGAACCACACCAGAAATAAAATCAATTATATCTGTGGAAAGAGACAGTGGAAAAACTCCATGTCATCAATCAAAATAAAGTCAGGGGCAGAGTGTGGAATGCATCATCACTTGCTCATATGCAAGGTCACTCTTAAGCTGAAGAAAATTAAAACAAGTCCACACAAGCCAAAATATGATCTTGAATACATTCCACTTGAATTTCAGATCATCTGAAGAACATATTTGATGCATCAGATACTAAAGATAGATGACCAGAAGAGTTCTGGAATGACATAAAGAACACTATACAGAGGAAAGCAAAAGATCCTTAAGAAGACAAAAAAGAAGGGACTGACCAAAACGGATGTCAGAAGAGACTGAATCTTGCTCTCCACCGTTGTTGTTGTTGTTGTTGTTGTTGTTGTTGTTGTTATGTGCCGTGGAGTCGGTTCCGACTCATAGCGACCCTGTACAGGGTTTCTGAGGCTGTAAATCTTTACGGAAGCAGAAAGCCTCATCTTTCTCCTGCGGAATAGCTGGTAGTTTCGAACTGCTGACCTTGCGGTTCATAGTCCTATTCGTAACCACTACGCTACCAGAGCTCCGGAAGCAGTGTGGAGGTACAAGTGCAGTAAAGAACATTTCAAAGGTCAGCTCATTAACATAAAGTCAAATATTATAATGCAATGTGCAAAGACCTGGAGTTAGAAAACTAAAAGGGAAGAACACGCTCACCATTTCTCAATCTGAGGGAATTGAAGGAAAAATTAAAGTCTTGACTTGTGGTATTGAAGGCTTCCAAGGGCAAAATATTGAATGATGCAGAAAGTATCAAAAGAAGATAGAAAGAATATACAGAGTTACTGTACCAAAAGGAAATGGGCAATATTCAACCAGTTCAAGAGGTGGTAGCATATGATCAAGAGGCAATGATAACAAAGGAAAAAATCCAAGGTACATTGAAGGCATTTCAAAGAACAATGTTCATGAAATTGATGGACTACAAATGGAAATCTTTGAACAAATTGATGTGGCACTGAAGGCACTCACTCATCTTTACCAAGAAATTTGGAAAACAACTATGTGGCCAGCTGATTAAAAGAGATCCATATTTACAGCCATTCTGAAAACAGGTGACCCAAAGGAATGAAGAAATCATTAGATGATAGCATTGATATCCCATGCAAGTAAAGTTTTACTAAAGATAATACAAAATGGATACAACCATGCATTGACAGAGAACTTCCAGAGGTTCAAGCTGAATTCAGAAGAGGATGTGCAATGAGGGATATCATTGTTGACATCATATGGAGTTGGCTGAAAGCAAAGAATACCAGAAAGAAGCTTACCTGTGCTTTATTGACCATGCAAAGGCTTTCAAGTGTGTGGATCATGGCAATCTGTGGACAGCATTACACAGAATGAGTATTCCAGAACACTTAGTTTGCTTATGAGGAACCTGCGCATATACTAATAGGCAGCTGTTTGAAAAGAAAAAGGGGACATTGAATGGTTTAATATTAGTAAATACATGTGCCAGGGTTGTATTCTTTCACGATGCTTATTCAATCTGTATGCTGAGCAACTAATCTGAGAAGCTGAATTATATGAAGAAAAACATGACATCAAGATTGGAGGAAGAGTCATTAACAATCTGTGATATGCAGATGATGCAACTTTACTTGCAGAAAGTGAAGAGGACTTAAATTCCTTACTGCTGAAGATCAAAGACCTCAGCCTTTTGTATGGATTGCATCTCAATGTAAAGAAAACAAAAATCCTCACTACTGAACCAGTAAACAACATCCATATAAAAGAAAAGAAAAAAAAAAGTTGTCAAAGACTTCAACGATCAACATACATGGAAACAGCAGTCAAGAAATCAAATGATGCATTGCATTAGTCAATTATGATGCACAAGGTCTTTTTAAAAGTTTGAAGAGCAAAGATGTCAATTTTAGGACTAAAATGAGTCTTACCCAGTCCATGATATGTTCAGTAACCTCATATACATATGAAAGTTGGGTAGTGAAGAGGAAGACCTTAGGAGAATTGATGCATTAGAGTAATGGTATTGGCTGATAATATTGAAAGTACCATGACTGCCACTTAACAACGCTTAACAACCATAACTACAACTCAGTCATGGCTAGTGGGAATGTAAAATGGTACCACCACTTTGGAAGAGAGCTGAAGTTTCTTATAAAACTAGTTTGATCATATAATCCACTGTTTGCTCCTAGACATTTATCCAATTTATTTGAAAACTTAATATTCACATAGAACCTGCATCAAAATTTCTATAACATCTCTACTCATAATCTGAAAAACTGGAAGTGACCAAGATGTCTTTTAGTACTGTGAATGGATAAACTTGTAACATATCTATATAATAAAATGTTGTTGTTGTTGTTAAGTATCTTTGAGTCAGTCCCAACTCATAGTAACTCTTTAAGGGTTTCCAAGGTGAGCTGTTGACTTTGCAGTTCAAATTGACCGTCAAGTTCAGTGTTTATCCTACAGCACCATGCCAGGACTCCATATAATGAGATGTTACTCTGATGAGAAAATAAACCACTTATCAAATTAAAAATGAGAAGGATGGTTCTTAAATGTTATTACTAATAAAAGAATCGAATATGAAAAAGGTTCATATTGTATGAGTATGACTCCTTATTTCGTGAATCCAATTATACAAATTTGGGAAAAGGTAAAGTGCTTGTTTAATAAGTACAGAATTTATATTTGGAATGATAAAATGCATTTTGGAAATATATAGTTGTGATGGTGATATTGTATTGCAAATACAATTGATTCCACTAAAATTCCACACATAAAATGGTTAGAATGGCTAATGTTACATCATACATATTTTATCACATATTATTTGTTTTAAAAAAAGGAAAGATCTAAGAATGCATAGCGTTGTTATAGCCCTCTATAACTCACTTACTTCATGCTCTATATATCATCCTTTATAACTAAATTATGATCAAACTGTGTATATTAGACCAGAAATAGGAAAGAGCCTTGGGGAACTTTGATGGATATATAATCATCCTGTCTTAAAACACACTCAAAATATAAGGAAGTTTGACATCTGCCTGATGAAGCTGCAGTTAAAGCAGTAGACTGCAGACCAAAAGGTCAGCAGTTCAAATTCATGAATCAGTCCATGGGAGAAGAATGTGACAGTCTGCATGTGTAAAATGTTTGCAGCCTTGGAAATCCTATGTGGTATTTTTACTCTGTGCTTTGGTGCTATGGATCAGCACTGGACTGTGAACCACAATGTCGGCAGTTCAAACCCACCAGCTACTCCTCAGAAATCCTGTACTGGGTCACTATGAGTTGGAACCGACTTGATGGAACTTAACATCAACAACAACATAGGATTGTTGCCAATCAGCATCCATTCCTCCATCCTTTGGTTTGGTTTCTTTTTCTGCAGAGACTGGTCATTAGAAAACCATATTTTCTAGAAACATTAAATCATGAGTTATGTATGTGATTGTTGGGATATTGGGTAGATGTACAGGAGAGAATCAGAGGGCAAAAGTGAGTCAGGTACTTAGTTCTAACCAATTATGTGGCCAAGAATAGTTGGAAAGCATGAGGTTACTCAGAATAAGTGAAGGTAAATTGTGAAATTAATAGTGTCGTAGGTATGAAGAAGTGATGTATCACACTTAGTTAGACAAGTGCACATCCATCAGACACAGTGAGTCTGGAACTAACAAAGCAAATTAATCATATTATCTAGGCTGCAGAACATGTGTCATGCTCATGAAACCAATAATTACAGTGGAGTCTCCTTGATACCAACTCCTTCCTGGTGATAAAAGAGATCAATGTTCTTAGTTGATCTGGTTGTTACTTTTGTTCTGGGAGTCATATCCAATATCTGAAGTATATACCAGAAGTTCATTTCATAATTTATTAAGTATATAATTAAAGTTTTTTTTTTTGTTCAGAATGTTTAACGAGACTTCTACTGAAGACAATAACCCAAAGAGATAAAATATTACAAGCCAGAAATAATAACAGGAAATAAACTCCAAAATGGGATTCTAAAAATTGGCATCTCATTTTTGGGTTTTGAGGACAATAACAATGCAGTTCCAATGGGATGATTGGATGCTTGTATTCCATGGCTCCCATTAGAAGACTTGTTTTATAGTGAATCATCTGTAGTCAACATGAAGAAATTATCTGGTGAAGTGAAAATTTTGGTTTATAAAAAAGACTTTGAAAGAAATAAACAAGAAGAAGTTGTTTATACCATAAAAAATAAAGAAGGTTGGGTTCTGGAAATAATGCAAACTTGTGAGCTGATGAGAGCAGGATTTAGATCTTCATGATTTTGAGCTCTGTGGCTCAAGAGTAACTGTAATCTTGAGAAAAATCATTCTCTTTTATAATGTTTAGCAGTTGAAGAGTTTTCTTAGGCCCTGTTTCATTTCCTTATTTCTAAGACTATAGATAAAGGGGTTCAGCATGGGAGTGACCACAGTGTACATCACTGAGGCTATTGCAGTGGCCCTCGAGTTTTGGGTAGCAGATAAACTAAGATAAACTCCAAAACCTGTACCATAGTACATGGAAATGAGTGAGACGTGAGACCCACAAGTGGAAAAGGCTTTACACTTTCCCTCAGCTGATGAAATTCTCAAAATAGAGGACACAATCTTAAAGTAAGAGAAAAAGATCCCAGCAAGTGGAATAATACCCAGAAATCCAGCTGTAAAATACATCATTAAGTCATTGAGGAAAGTGTCAGAACAAGCAAGTTGGACTACCTGAATAAGTTCACAGAAAAAGTGGGAGATTTCCAATTCTGTACAAAAAGACAGTCGCAAAACCATTAAACTATGTAGTAAAGACTGCAGAGCACTCAATAACCAGGTTGCCATAAGCAGGAGACCACAGATCCTGGGCTTCATAATGATCATGTAGTGCAATGGGTGACAGATGGCCACAAACCGGTCATAGGCCATCACGGTCAAGAGGAAATTGTCTATTCCCAAAAAAAGCATAAAAAAATACATCTGGGTGATGCAATCTTCATATGTAATGACTTTATTCTGTATCTGAATGTTCAGCAGCATCTTTGGAACAGTGGTAGAAATGAAGCAAATGTCTGAAAAAGAAAGGTTGGAGAGAAAGAAGTACATGGGTGTGTGGAGGTGGGAGTCCATGATGATGGCCAGGATGATGAGCAGGTTCCCAGTGAAGGTGACCACGTACATGGACAGGAACAGACCAAAGAGGAGGGGCTGTATATCTGCCTCGTCTGAGAGCCCCAAAAGTATAAATTCTGAAATATGTGTTTGGTTTCCTGGTACCATGGAGCTGATGAAACTGCAGGAAAGAAAAGAGTAATGCAAATTTAGTCATAATTAAAGAATAAAAATTTGACAAATGTGTTTGCTTATATTTTTTTGTTTTGTTTTGTGTCAGCTAGTCAATTCGGACTCATAATGTACCTGTATTGTGCTTCCAAGAGAGACTGGTGGGTCTCAACTTTCCACCTTTAGTTAATAGTCCAGTGTTTATCCTAAGTACCACACCAGGGTCTCATTAAACCCTATTTAATTAACTAACTCCTATATAATATTTAAAGGAGCTCTGGTAGCGTAGTAGTTACGAATCGGGTTGCTAACCTCAAGGTCGGCAGTTCAAAACTACCAGCTATTCCTCAGGAGAAAGATGAGGCTTTCTGCTCCTGTGAAGATTTACAGC